GCCCTCTTAACTATAAACTAATTATTAGAGCTTAATCTCTTTTCTCTACACCTTTCTGTGCTCTGTTGTTTTTTTTTTTTCCTGTCACCACTGCAACTTGCCAAAGTTCACCAAAATTTACTATGAACCAAGTGCAGGAATTAGGTTTATGGGCCTGATAGAATTTGGACTTCCCACTTACTGCAGAGGTAACACAAAAGGTATTTTGATTTGCAGCATCTTGGAAGTTCTTGTCAACTTTCCCCAGAGCCCTTCTACTGATTTTAAAACAAAACTCACCATTAGTAGAAAATCTGCCTCCCACTTCCCTGCTGGAGTGAGACTGTGCTTCGGAGAAGGATGAAAATGCAGAAACAGCCTGTCTCACACTTACAGGCTTCCTAACAGCCAAATTCTGTGCTCTTCCTAAACAGGCCAGCCCAAAAAGAGAAGGTACAGAGGAGAGATTCACCAAGTTCCAGCAGTCAGTGCTGCCCATAACACACGCTGCTGTAGGACCCACAGAGAGCTGTACAGGGGCCCTCTTACAGGCCCCTATCATGTCTGATGTTGTGGGTGGAAATATAATCCCACAGAACCTCCACAAATGTCTGCAAAAAGCTCTGTTACTACAGACTTTGAGTCAATCACTGTAAATTCCATTCTAAAATAAATGACAAGTTACACTGACTTGTTTGCCTTAACTACAGATAGGCTTGCCAATATATGTTGTTGCTGAGGTTATATCTACTGCATTGTGATACACAACTGGTTCTGTTTTAGAAATAGATCCATTTTTGTGCACCTCATCTAAGATGTAAATTATACCACTGACAATACCAACGGGAAAGTTTCCAAATGGGTCTGATTTTGGTATACTAAAGTAACTGCTTATTACAGAGGAAAGGTTAAGGAATATTTTCAAAATGTAGATTTTCTGATATTTTCTTAAGTTTGCTGTGTTCTCTTTATTGTTCGTGTACGTTGTCTTTGGAATCAGATGCTGATTGGTGTCTCCTTCTTTCATTTCTCTGGGAAAATTGCCCTGTATATGGTGGAATATCTTCTGGTTTTCATTATCATTGAAGGCAAAGACTATCAGCTACTGTAGCTGTTCATACTTATGAGTAGATAATCGAAATAATCACTGGTTGATAAAGTTCTTCAAGAAAAAGAAAATTCACTTTATTGATTTTTTTTGTTGTTGTTGTTTTAGTAATAGAAAATCCTCATTTTTTCCAATAGTTTTTTTTCAGGGACACTTCAGCTCTTGCTGCTTGAATACATAGGAAATAATTTTACATCCAAAAAGAACGACATTTTGTCTAACTAGGAAATAGATTATTTTCCAAATCCACAAACAAATCATTGCTAGATCATACTCAAGACCTGTCTTGCACAGCTGCAGATATTGCACTACTGAAGTAAGACATGTTTTGACAGCAGAGTGGTCAGTTGTTGATGTTAGATCCCATTGCTCAGAGCTGTATCCAGTCTGGCCTGGAAACCAGCTCAGGACAGGGCACCCAGAGAGAAGCTGGCCTCTGAGCCCAGACTACCCCTAACCCTGCAGAGGCTGGACTAGAGACCACCTGAGGTCCCCTTAGCCTGAATGATCCTATCCTGACATAGTATTGTGACAGAACTGCTACTGTTGAGATCCATAAGCATTTCTGTTTGAAGGTTTATTTCCACAAAAACACATCCTCAGCTGGTACCTGATCATTTACAAGCAGCTCTTGTTGGAGATGAAATTTTGCTAGGAGTTAGACTTTGATGATGCCAGATGCTGAAAGGTTGAAGTATGATTCAGCAAGGACCTTAAAAATAAAAAAAAAACCTTTTAAAATGCTTCTAAACCCCACAGATGCATGATTCAAGCTCCTCAGATGTTGACTCATCCCATTTTAAAAGATGGAAAAAGAATTTAAATTTGTCACAATTACCAAAAAGAAACGAAAAGCAAAAAGCAGTACACATTGGGCTTACTGTGCCAAAAGCAAATTTTGATCATGTGCAGACTAAGGTACTAACCTGAACTCATATTCTGCAATTAATTTCATACAATTTCTTCCAGTAACAGTTGCAGGATCTAGTCAAATTGCTAAAAGCAAATAACATAAACAGTAACATGGGTGAAGTCGTATAAAAATATTTATTATCTTTTGCAGTATCTCAAAAAACTGATGGATAAGTCACTGTTATCACCTGCAGAAAGACCTGTCTGTAATTAAAACATGTAATACTTCTCTGGCTCTCAAATTTGAAATATAGTTTGTAGCACACTTTTAAACCTGTATTTTAATTATTTCTCAGTTCCAACATAGAACAAAAAAATTAAATTTAGCAGCTAATATTTAGTCTTGATATGTTTGGAGACTTCTTGAACTATGACAAGGTCTCACTATGCCTTGAAATAATAAAAAGCATTTTAAAACAATATTACTATTAACTTTAATATTGATATATGAAACAAGTCATAAATTTCGTCATGTTATATCTACTCTTATATAATGAGATAAGCTTTGACTCTATAGCAAGACTGATTGACTTCACAGAGCTGTTACCTGGTTCATGATGTATTTATTCTTACAACTGTTCCTAGGTTAAGAGTAACATTTAAAACAGATAAAATTTATTTGAGCTAAAAAAAATTCCATCCTGATCAACATTCCTGGGAACCTGGAGAACAGCAGTTATCATATCACACCAGAAGTTATCACAATAAAGCTATAAGCTGTAACAATAAATGGGAAAAGATATAATTATAAAATGGATCATTTGACACTGTCATTTCATCTTATGCAGAACCACTGTGGTGACCAAGTTACACCATAGTAAAAATTCACCTATTCTACAAAAATGAACGTTACTGAGTAACATTTTAAATCATGGTAGTACCCAGCTTTAATATGGCTCCTTTGTACCTTAGCCTAGAGATTACATAGACTGCATGTTTTCTTCAAGCTATTCATTGCTAAAATCTAGACAAAATAGTACTAGGTTACAGCTTCCACTTTCCCTGCACAATGTAGCATTTAGAATTAAGATTTAAGAGCATTTTGGAAATACAGACTACTTAATGCAAGAACAAAACTTTCTGGTATGATCATATGTTTATGTTGCATAAGATAATACAATCCATCTGTCGGGAAAATCCTTGCTGAATATTATATCTGTTTTAGCAGTAAACATGAATAGAAATCAGGATTATTTTCTTAAAATCTGAAACTGAGTAACAGTGAGCCTTACAAAGAAATATGTCTAGGAACCTGAGGCAAATTATCCATGTTAATGTTGGAGTCACTGAGAGCAGTTAACACAATGTAACCAAATGTCAACTGGAATATTTTGCAGTAACTTACTGAAGAGATCTGTGTTTAATGAATATATGAACTCTTGGTTTCTAAGTTTCTAACTTCAGATGGCGAAGATTAAGTGTTAAGGGTGTTACTGTAAATGTTTAAGTGAGATGAACATCTCTGATTTTCTAATTTTACCACATGGTTTATTTCAGAAGAAAACAAGCACCAGTTAACATAGTTCTCCTGCAAGTCAGTAAACAGTCACACACAAAAACTCAATACAATTTGCTTCTTTGTTTATGTGCAGGATATTTAGTTTGGTTTGCAAAGTATTAGAAGAATAATAAGAACCTCCTGACGGAATACCACAACTAAATTTCTAAAAAGCCACTCAGTTAATCTCAGTGTCGAATCTGGCTGTTTCAAATTATTGTAATGTATAATAACAGTCTTATTGACAATATGGATGCACAGAGCCAAAAAAAGCTAGAAATAGTGGCCAAAATGATGAACTAAGTGCCAGCCCAAATGACAACAAACATATGGCCATTAACTGAAGAATGGAGGGGTTTAGGAATGCAGCTGTCTGTGGTCTCCTGAAGTTCCAGAGGAATGAAATGCTGCGAGGATTGGTAAAGTCTGGATGAGAAGCCCTACTGAAGATGCTAAGTCCTAAAATGGAGTCAACCAGCAGACCATGCTGGAATTCAGAGATTTCTGTGGTCAGAATATATTCATTCCATTGGCCTCATAATGTACATCAACAAATTAATATTGTATGGATGTCATTTCAAAGCCTACTGAAGACGAAGAGCCATTACTGAAGGCATTAGAGCACAGATGGTTCAAACTATATGCAGATATTCATACTTGCATTTCTGCATTATAGCAGGGGTTTTTTTCTGTTGAACTGTAATGAATTGTCTCATAATCTATTCCATCTTCTTGCCATTAGCAGGCTTTGAATGTTCACAAATAGGAGCAAAGAACTCATTTTCCAGAGCTTTAATCACACAAAGAGGGAATGCCTAATTCTCTAAATGAAATGGTCTGTGATCACTGAAGCAGAGATTTAATATATCACGGCAAATTAGGTAGATTTTAATAAATTACTTATCTCTCTGAATACTTTACATATGCTTATGAAGAAACATAGCCTGTTTGCAAACAGTGGAAATCCACAGTCTATAAAATCCTTTGAAGAAAATGACAAATAAAAAAGTAAATTAAAAAATGAAATGTATTATATCCTCGTTCTCAAGAGACAATCCTTTTGCAGCATTGATTCACAGCTCCATTAAAAATATCAATTAAACCCTTCACTGAGATTGGTTAAAAGCTGTAAAATTAACTTTCCACACTAGACAGTAGTTATTCAGATACAACAATTTATTGTATATATTCGATGTAAGTTCTAAAAGTGACAAAACCCAAATGAAAACAGTTGCCCATCCCTAAAGCCCAAAGTAGGTGAAGCAAAATCTGACACTCTGTGGCTTCTTTTTGTGCTTTGACAGATGTTGGCTGCAAGTAAATCATCTACTCTACAGAAGATGATTGTGCCTGCCCTCCCCCTACTTCAAATTATGGTAACCATAAACAGCTGATTATAACGTTAGTAGAAGGGTAAAAGTTATTTAAAAAAAGGGTGCAGTAATTTAATAAGTCCTGCAACTAGCCTAATTTTTTATATTTAATTGATAGGAACTGCATGCATCAAAGAAAACACATACTGAGATTTAATGTGCATAAAATGGATATTAGCATTTTAAAGAGGCAGATTAACACATTAATCCAAGTAATTTTCATATATTGCTTTTAATAAAATCTTCACAGTATAAAATTCTTAATGAGGCTAATCACAGGCATTCCATTTAACGGGGTGATTAGGGATAACATAAAAGTATTTTTAATCAGTTTTCTAAGGCTTATGGTTTTTTTATTAAAAATTAAAATTTTGACTTGCATTTTTATTACTGTTTTATGTAGGAAAAAATCTTAAAAATGCAAATAAAGCACATCGTTCAATCATGTAGGTATTAATTATTTACAAGACGCTGTCCATTGTGGAGATATTCTTAGCCTTAGGGGGGAAATATAAAAACAAACAGACTGAAAAGTATACAAAACTTTACAACTGCAAATCAAGCGTCCTTTTCATATAAATTATACATTAAATATACTGTAGGAATTACAAAGATCTCATCTTTGATGCACTATCAAGCATGTATTTACACTGGGAGAAGGCTCTTCTGTGGCAAACTTCCTTTCATGCCTCGCAGTCATCTTTGCGTTCCCCTCTCGACTGAGGGCAGCGCGTGGATAGCTTCCAGTGCTCCTTTGAGCTTTCCAATTACTGCACTGTCATCTTGTGAATCACAAACTAGAAAGGAAACATTACAAAACAGCATTAGCAATTTCATTTAAGGTCTCACTTTTGTTCTGATAATCTTCCTTAGCATTTGGACAGATTAAAAGGCTTCTAGTATATGTTAAAATAACATAAAAAAGGGAGAGGTAAATAAATAATAAAGAAAGCTTACTTTTCAGGTACTCAGCCTACTGAAAACTGAGCACTCTAAGAACAAGAATGTACATCAATGAAAGTATCAGGGCTGGAATTAACTCTGAAATAAAGAAAACTGTTCATATAATAATTGTGTACATAAATTAGTAATTTTTCACAATGTGTAAATAAAGGTGCTCCAAGCTCTATTGAAAACATATATGCATAGTCAGAAATCATTTTAAGCAAAAAATATACTAATTAATGCATTTTCTATACTGTTTGTATGATGGGTCCAAGTCAGCCTGGACAATAATTAGTATTTAAAGAGCAAGTTGTGCTTTCCAGTTTGTGCAATGCAAAAGTATTTAAATTCCAAGCTTCTGTGTGTTGTAAAATAGTGAAATATGAGCAAAGATGATAATTCCCCTAGACTAAACTACCTTCATCTTTGTGTATGTGGGTTTTAAATTAGTATTTAAAATTTCTATGTTACAGAAATTAGCTGACATGATTTAAAATTGCACTCTTTCACAATATCTAAGTAAGCCCAGAGGGCCAGAATCTCTGCTGCTGTGATTAAAACATGCTGCTAAGTCAAAAATGAGGCTCTTTCCCAGTCCTGCACAAAAAGCAATCAGGCTGCCTAACATGACCCTAGAAGGAATTTGAATAAAAACAAACAATCTTGAGAGCATATCTTTCCAAAGCAAATTACACAGCTGACAAATAGCAAGGTTATGTATTTAATAATTAGGATAAGTGCTCTAGGACATGAAATGATGCTTCATGTTGCAACTTCTAGGCTGCTGGGATAGCTCAGAAGAGGTTTAGAGAAGGGAAAGCACAGGATAAACCTTCCATCACTTACCCTGTTGAAAGACCTATTATAGGACAGGTTGGATGCTATTCTTAGAGATCCAAAGCATTTTGTAATTCTTGAACAAATCACTCAGTGAACTGTCAACTTCAGAGCAGACTTCAGAGGACAGTATTGTTTTTACTGTAAGAACAGCAGGATAACTGTAATTAATGATATCAGAACATTAACTCTATTTTATCAGTTTTCATATTGTCATATTATCTCTGAGACTTACTGTTAGATGTCTTGACTTTAAAGTCTCTTTTTCATCCATCCTCTTGCTTAGTCATGCACTTAGTTGTGCCAAATTTCATGGAGGCCACTTCCACACAACCAGCAATGAAAGGAACAAGATATGAAAAAGAACCATGATGCTTGCAGTCCTCAAATAGAGTAACTGAAGCTCAGGGTATCTGAGAATGACTACATCTTCATGTGGTAGTGTTCTGTGAATTTTTCTTGTCTATGTTTATTCTTTTTCCCTCAAAACAATATCCATCTCAGAGAAAATGTACATATTACTCAGGAATTCTATTTATCTATTTAACATTTCATTGAAGTTGATGTCCGGATCTTGACAAAAGATCCTTTTTCAATAAATTCGTCCAAGAAAATACAGTAACGTGCTCTTCTGCCATGATCTGACATATATTAATGCAAAATTCATTTCAATTCTGTGAAATTTCTAAATTTTCAGAAAATATGCAGCGTTACATGTTATGGATTCAACAGAAAAACAAAACTGCATAGCAACTGCAGGGAAAGGGCAGAAGTGTGGATAAGAAAAAGAATAAAAGTATTTTTAGCTATTACTATCACTTTAATAGATACAATGCATATGCAGTAAAATTAGTTCAAATGTCTTATGATCAGGGGAAGAAACATTCCTCAATATTGAAGTAGCTGTCATGACATAATAATAATAATTGGCTTTTGACAGAACAATAACTCATAAAAAAAAACAGTCCTTCCTGTCATAATAATTCTCTCAGATGATTAGGATTTTTAAGAGTTTTGTGACATGGTAAAAATTTTTATATATATATAACTAATAAATCTTACCAAATAGGAATTATGACAATGGAAATTATGGTCTTAAAATGCAGAACAAAAACAATTTTCCAGTGAAAGACTACAAAATACCTTTTTGGAGGAGATGTGCTTTTGTACAACTACTTGGAGAAAAATTATTCGTGCAGAAAAGATTAAGTGTTCAGCCACATTATGAAGTGCACCAAATCTATGTATTATTTTTCCAGGGTGAGGAGATTTGATTCTTTGCATTTCTCTTATCATGTTCCTGGAACTCTGAGTATTTATACTCTTTGAGTATTTTAGCTGCAGCATGGATGCAAATCATGCATGATAATGGAAATGGTAAGAAAGCCTATTTCTTTCTCTCAATACTCAGCTCCCCATAGCTGAGTAATTACCCCCAACAAGAGAAGCAGCAAAGTCACACTGGCCTGGAATTCCAGTAGGGCTAACTGGAATTCCTGCTCTGCAAAGGATACTTTATGTGTCCAGGCGTGGAGCTGCTTCATGCACCCACAGAGGGATTGCTTTATCACAAAGATACTCTCAGCTCCTTCCCTGAGCTTCACCACTACAGGAGAGAGGATTGAAATGAAGAGGGACAAGAAAAATGCACCATTGGTAACCTTGACCCTGCTACCACAGGCAACAGGAAACTCTAAGCAAGGAGAATATTTTCATTCCCTGTCTGCAAGAAGATTGAGTAACCTTCTCCACTCTTCCTATGAGCACTACAAAAATACTCTGGAGAAGTAAAATGCACCATTGGTAACCTTGACCCTGCTACCACAGGCAACAGAAACTCTAAGCAAGGAGAATATTTTCCTTCCCTGTCTGCAAGAAGACTGAGTAACCTTCTCCACTCTTCCTATGAACACTGCAAAAATACTCCCCAGCAGCCCAGGAAAGGGAAGATTCCACAGCTCCTACTCAGCTCACCTTGCTTTGGGAAGTCACAGTGAAGGGCTGGTCAGAGGCTTTTCCAAAGGGGTGCTCAGGCTAAAGTGACCCCTAACCAACCCCCAGTATTGCACTCACACTGTCTCAGATACAGTTTGGTGTGGAGGATGCAAAAGCCAGCACTACCCTGGGGGTTATACTGTAACTTTAAATAAGATACAGACATCAGCAATACAGAATTACTGACATCAGTTTTAATACATATATATAAATATATATTTATAGTCCTATTACAATGAAGCATGTCATATAAAATAGAGAATTACAGGAAGCAGACATGTCCTTAAAGTTCTTAGGTTTTAACTGTCTCAGATACAGTTTGGTGTGGAGGATGCAAAAGCCAGCACTACCCTGGGGGTTATACTGTAACTTTAAATAAGATACAGACATCAGCAATACAGAATTACTGACATCAGTTTTAATACATATATATAAATATATATTTATAGTCCTATTACAATGAAGCATGTCATATAAAATAGAGAATTACAGGAAGCAGACATGTCCTTAAAGTTCTTAGAGTAATTACTACGAGCTGGGGATGCTGTTTGGTTTTGGTTTTTTAAAACATATTTTAAGGAATGACAGTAATAGTTTCTGCAGACTTTTGCAAATAAATGTGGAAACCTTCAGTTAATAGAAAAGAATTTCTTCTTGACACTATGTCAAACAATTGCTTTCACAGTAAATCTTGCAGAGTAAAGTAGAAATTCAATAAATCATTTTTAAGCTACAAAAGTTTACAAAAAAGTGGTCTCTAAAACTCACCACCAATGACTTGTTCAATGGTATTTCTTTGCTTCTGGAATATCTTTTTCAAACAGATTCAGCAAAATCAGTATCTTCACATTCAAGTTCTGCTCATCTTCTGGGGTGTCACTGAGCACTGTAAATTTTAGGGTAAACAAAAAAAAACATTCAAAAGGAATTAAAAATCAACTCTGAAACCCAGAAAAAAAGCAAAACTGCATTCTGCCTTTTATTCTTCCACTACTTAAGCAAGAACTCTTTATCAATTAAATTCAACATTTTCCATGACAAGAATAGTCCAAGGCCCTCTCTTAAATCTTCCCTTCTTCTTTAGTATTATTTAGCAGTAGTAGAAGGACAGAGAAGTTGTAGCCATAGATCCACAGGCTTACAGAATGTTTCATTTTTGTTTTCCCTCCCACCATTCTATGGTACAATTCTTGTTTATTTGGCTATACAAACAACTACACAAAATATATGCTTTTCTTCTGAGAACTTAAATTACACCCATTGCCTCCAAGTATGGCTTTCCTTTCAAACACACAATTCCAGTATTGTGTTGGAGCTGGCTTGAGTTAGTGGCTTGTGCTGGGGCCAAAAACACCGAGACTGACAAAATGACAGGAATTTAGAGCTAACATTTGGTATGTCTTGGCAACATTGGTCAAACTGTGACTGTTTGTGAGCTTTACAACCTAAAAATGTTACAATAGGCATAATTTGAAATGGGTTGGCATCAAGTTACATTACATCCAAGGCTGCAGAAAGGATATCTTACACAAAATATGAATACATGAATAAAGCTATGGATAGTGTTACTCTCCTATATTTCTCTCTGGGATCCCAGGCTTTCTCTCTAGCTGATTTCCACATTTCTTTTCTGTAATACCCAGGTATAAGTACACACTTTATTGTAGGAATTCCAAACCTTCTGAATAGGAAGAAAATTTAACATCTTGTTGAAAAGCACCATGTGAGAAGATAATTGCTAGACAGTGCAGGAAAAAATAGAGAACTAAATGAAACTTGTTCACCAAAGAAAAGTGAAAAAAAACCCAGTAAGTGCTTTAAGCTTAAAGCATGTTTTACTATGAAAGCCTGAATGATTGTTTATTTTTGGTTTTAGAACAACATTTAAAGGCATTATCACCAGCAGGTAATTTAGAGCAACTGGACAAAAGCTCTTATATAGACAAATTTGATCCTATTTTGTTGTATTCCAGAGATCAGTGTTTTTAAGCAGCAAGTAGAAAACTTTGTGCATGAATTCAGTATATTCATGTGAAGCTTACACTGTATGCATGCTCTATTCTATAACATGGAGGCACAGATTTTGTTACTTTGGGGAACAATGACTTCATATAGTCTGTTCCTTGGAATAACAATCATTTCCCACCAAGAAATGATGCACCTGTCAGGATCAGCCTGGAAACCTCTTGCATAAAGCTGTTCACTCTTGTAATCACAGCAGGGTGACTGTTAGAAGAATGGATTCCTCCATTCCTCACACATGTCTCTCCTGACACTTGTCAGAAGAGCACAGACTCTACCTCCAGGTCTCAGCACTTCAGCTACAGTCTGCCATGAGGAATCAGGGAAGGTTCACTACACGACTGAAATTTCTACACTCTTAAAATGCTGAAAGGCAGCAGTGGAAGAAAAAACACCAACTATGACACAGTTACAAAAAGTTACATGGATGGCAAGAAATGTGTCCTGTTAACTGATTAAGAGACTTGAACATGTAAATAGATAATGATGGACTTCAGATGCTGAAACAATAATTCTGTATCCATTGTTTATTCCGAATATACTTGCTAATATTTTACAAATATTAGCAAGTATATCTTCCTAAAATTAATAAGGAATTTGAATCCCCATTATACAGAAGAAGAAACAAAACAAAAAGGCTACCCATGTCACACAATACAGGTATAATTAAAGCAAGTATTCTGACAAAATCTCCATATTTATGATAGAGATAACAACTGTCTGAAAACATAAAGAAAATATGCTTGTCAAAAGAAAAGAACCATCTTTGTTGTTTGCAACAATTAGACCCTAAAAAGGATTTCAAACAGTCTTCCTAGTCTCCTACTACCTCATGCTTATGTATTTTACATTTTACATAATTCTATTTAACAGCATATTTTTCTTTATTTTTTTCACACTGATTATTTTTGCATTTTCTGCAACTAAAGCCATTAATTCAAATGTGGAACCAAAATCAACACTTCTAATAAACTTCTAAAATTATTCCATTATCAATAAATGAAATTGAAAGGAGAGAACTATCATTATTTTGAAATCTTACACGCATGAAGTGAATTCCACTTCAAACAAATTTTAGACTGGATATTAAGAAAAAATCATTCACTGAAAGAGTTGTCAAGCCCTGGAAGAGGCTGCTCAGGGAACTGGTGGAGCCACTATCCCTGGAGATATTTAAAAGTGCATTGCTGGGTTAACAGTTGAACTCGATGACCTGAAAGTTCTTCTCCAACCTAAATAGGACTCTAAAAAATATGTATTTTCCATATAAATTCCATGGCAACTAACATTTATTTATTTGTAAGCACAAACTAAAAGGACATACAGCTGTGAAATGCATTCTTTCCAAGGTCAAACTGGTTCAGTTTCAACTACAGAATTAGCCTATAGTTGCAACTTTGGCTTAGCAAGAATTTTATGTATTATAATAATATATCTTTTTTTAAGAGCTATTCATTAAAGTGATTCTTCTCTTAGAAGACAAAAATAGCATGTGATTTATCCATTTATTTATGTTCTAATATGGATCCAATCATTATGAGTATCATTTCCAGCAACATTCATTGTGACAGGAAAAAAATAAATTAATACCCTACCTAATAAACATAATACACTGCCTATGCTGCTATAATTTGGTCTAGCACAAACACCAATAAAGTGACAGGCTAAACCATCTGCAGGCAATTTTCAATGATATTTATATCCTTGATAATTTGGTTTCCTGAGCTTTAAAGCATTAGTTGAGTTCAGTTCCTGTTTCAGCTGAAAAAGCTCTGATACTAGTTTGTAAGGCTTGTGATAGAAAACACGTGTGGAAGATATAACTAGGCCAGGTTTAAAATGCACAGGGTTGGAAACTTTTGGTGTATGGGCACAATCTTTCCATAAATTTTCTTTCTTGGTGGTCTTCTTGCGAGGATCAAGTGGGGAGCTGGACTACTGATGAACTTCCTGTCTTCCTATTTAGTCAATGCAGAACTGAAATTTCACCAGGAGCCAAGGCAGGCACATCAGTGAGTGCAGAGAACAACCCACCTACAAACACAGACAGTACCATGGCAGCAACACATAGAAGATGAATCCTCTTCAGAGAAAAAGCTCACTGCTGTAATCTTACCTGACTTTCACCTTAGGCTTGTAAAATAATTATTAAAAATATCCAAGTATTTATAGGAGAAATTGCAGCTCACCAACTAGCTATTTTCATTTGCTTAATTTATCCCTTGGGAAAAAAAGAGAGTATTTTATCCTCAGTATTATCAAATTTTAGTAAAACATTATCCACTTTCCTATTCTATATGGTAGAGTTAGTCATCTGCTTGCTTATTAAGTGAAGTATTTTTTTTAAACTCCAAACCTAAGAATTGTTTTGGTATGATATTTCCATCCCAACAAGTAATCATTTCATGGTGTTCCCTGCTCCATTCCAGTAAAACCTGTTTTTTAGCCAAGACATGAAACTCAGATCTAGAAATGAAATGAAGAGAGATCACTCCTCCTTACTGTGGAGTGAATCAGTGATTTGTGAATAAATACATATTTAAAAGATTTACAAGTAACTCCAACATGTCAAATACAATCGGCACGTATCCTATTCCTCCAGAAATCAAATGTCTTTAAATTAGTGATTATTCCATTTTAATGATAGACCTTCAAGAGAAAATGTAATCAAAGGATGTCATTCATTCTGTATAAATAATGTAAATACTATAACAATAAAAAAAATTAATGTGAACAAATTTATTATTATTATGAAATTGGACAAGAATAATTTATATTCCTTCTCATATGTATTTACATAATAGCTGCCTATCTATCTATATCTATCTATCTATCTACCTACCTACCTATTTATTTATTTCTGGAAATTCTAGGGCCAAGGAACACTTTCTGCACCTCTTAGACTCTTAGTAGTATCCTGAATTCAGAAAGCAACAAATGTACTACACTACACTGGGAAGATATGTGTTTTTCAGACTCATTAGTGATAGAATACTGGTGATAGATTCTATGTTTTGTGGAACAGATTTGTTAAAAACAAACAAACCAACCAACCAAACAAACTCCCAAACCAAACCCCAAACCACAGCACTAAACCAGCATTAGGTGAGGTTGCAGTATTCCATGCCAAAGGAACCTACACTAGAAAGAAATAAAAGCAATTGTCCCATCAGAATGCAGCCATAATTTCTAGCTGAAACAAATTTTTTTCTTGTTAGTTAGTTAGGTATTAACTCTTTAGTTCAACCTCCTCAAAAGAGACAAACCACGAGGTGAACCACAAGCATAATTTACTAAGACCTATAACAGAGTTTTCCAGCACTAATGTGTACCTGCCAATGTGTAGATCTGGCTTTAGAACAGACCTGAGACCTCTTTCTGCACAATTATCTGCCTTAACCACATTTATCACTGCAAAGCAAATCAGAATTACTATTAGTATCAAACGTTTTTCACCTTTTAGACGAGCATGAGGAAAAGAACAAAGAAAAATAAACATTTCTTTCTTTTTTTCTGAGGGAAAGCAACAATGCTAGAACCAAATTTGAAAGGTCATGTGATCTAATGGTGTGTCACTGGCAGGTTTATGTGCACACTGTCAAAAAAGATACAAGCAGCATCTAAGCATGCCACATAGCTGTCACTTTCTGTTAATGGCAATAGCACTCATGATTTTAAAAGCCAGTGGTCTTTATTGCTTTGTATTTGAAGTGATTTACTGCATTTTCTTCCACTGAGGAAGCCAGTGATAATGATAATGTATGGCAGAGTGCTTGTCCTTTTTGACAGCCTCAGTAATTTAATCCTCCTTTCCTGCCACAATATTTCAATAAGAGAAACCTCTAGACCAATGGACTGGAGAAA